GTCATGGTGTGACTAAAATTATTGGAATGACTAAGATGGGTTCTCTAGGGTAATTTAAGGTATTGTGGATTCTTACCAGACCATTTGAAAAGACCTTCAGAAATGAGCACTTATACCATTCACACAGCTTTTTACCTGTGATGACTATGATTTTCTTCATATATCCCAGAGAGAGTCACAAAAAATATTCTTGCACTCACCTTCCTGGGTAAAAGAATAATAATAAATCAGATAATAATCTGATATAGCTGATAATAAAAATAATAAATCAGATATTCTTGCTATAGCGGATTTAAGGAACTTAGGTCATCATTTAGGCTACTTATAGAAAGGTCAATTAGATTATCTGTGAACAGTGAAAGATAAATTAATCTAGCATGCACCAAATTGCACCTATTCTACTGAAGAGGTGCGAAGGAACTTGAGCTGTTGTCAGATGGCCATGGACCCACCCCATGGTATGGATATGAAGCTGCAGGTACCACCTGAATAAATAATTTGGATGAGACTCTTCAGTGGAGTACTCCTGCTGAAGCTGGTGAAAGCCAGGTCATTCATGGCATTTGGTTTTGCCAAATATATGGTTTATGTTTACAGTCAGAAGTAGAGGCTTGTTAAAAAAAAAAAAAAAAAAAAAGGAGAGCTAATCTGATTAAAGTACAGCAGTAGAAGAGAGGGAGTAGTTTATACTGAAAGTTTATAAGCTTGTCTGTTTTCACAGAGTAGCAATACTAAGATATTCTATTTAGTTTCTCCAGATGCAGAGCATGTGCAGATGCAAATATAGATCTAAAAGTCTTGCTTACACTTAGGTATTTCTAACCAGGAGGATTTATAGATGCCAGGGAAACTGAAATCTTTACATTTTAATCCCAGCAAATAAAATATCTGAGGCAAATTATTCTCAGATGAGATGAAATTGATTTTACTGTTAAAAAAAAATTCAAATAATTTACCACACCACATTTTGGGAAGTCAATTCAATGAAAGATCATGATACAAGTTAAGAAAATACTAATGGGTGAATACTCAGAAGTGTTTGTTGAAAATTTACACCAATAAAAATGTGTTGAGGGTAAAACAAATTATTTAGAGCTACCATTGCAGGAGCATGAGGGATGTTTGTGTTTACATGTTCTTCATGGAAAATATAATGCAAGTGTAGACTCCAGCTGGAGCATCAGTGAGTTACCAGAGCAACCAGATAGGAAGTTGCAAAAAACTGTTACAAGTTTTAGAATTAGAGAAATTTGAACCTTTGTCCCTGCCATTTTCTTGGAAATGGCAATTATCTTCAGATTTGAATTTTCTAATGAGCTAGAAACTATTCAGTACCCTTTTGTCCATGTTTTATTGTACTTCCTTTGTGATTGGACTTTTCTACTATATTTTATAAAGACAAGCAAACATGAGAGAAATGCATTAAAACACTCTAAAATGTTATTCCTTGCTCATTAGATTGATAAGTATAACATGTAAACAGAGCAGTTTTTAGTTCAGCCAAGTGTGTCTTATTTTATAATGTCTGGCATCAACTTCAGTCATGGTTATGAGTTTGCCATCATGATTGGTCGCTGTACCTAAACCACACATACATTATGCAAGAGATCATTACTGGAAGCATTTAATTCACGACCTATGCTTCTCAGCTAGCAAAGCAAGGGGGTTCATTGGAGTGAAATGAAACTGAAACAGAGCAGAGGCCTCAAGCCAGCAAAAAGAAAATAAAGCATAAAAGCACTGCCTGGCTGCAAGCCAGTGAATGCTCCATCACGCAGTTGTCAGCCTCGTCCTGTGGCAGTGGCCAAAGAACCCTTTATGTTATGGTCTCTGGGCTGGGCTCCTAAAGCTTGAGGTGTGTGATGCCTCTGCCACACGCCAGTGCTTGGTGCTGCTGCCCCATGCAGTGAGCAGGACGTGCCTGGGGAGCTGCTGAGCTCCAGGTGGGAGCCCCAGGCAGCGCCGGATCTGTGGAATGGCGCCATGGGCACCGCTGGTCCCCGCGCGCTGTCCCCTGCTCCTCCACCGTGGGCAGCCAGGGGATAAGAGAAGAGAAGGGGATCAGGTTCATGTCAGGAATTTTTCAATATCTCAGTAACTTTCAATATTCTGCAAAAAGAGAAAATAAATGGAAGTTGAATTCTGCAGAAACCAAGTCAGACACTTGTCTAACGGGGCTGGATAGGACCTTTAAATACTAGTTACTGACTGTAAAAATGCTCTTCCCCTGTTTCTTTTTCTATGAACTTACTGTCAATGTCACTGTTCTTCTTTCCCTCCAAAGTAAACCAAATGATAACATTTTCTGTGTCTTATTTGGAGGACATAGTCCCATAATTATTATACATGTAATAATAATAATTGCTTTATATAGTCTGTAACACAAACTGTAATTCACTGCTGCTGAATCAAGGCTGGCTTACATATTTGCATTCACTACAGTTTTCTTACAAAAAGTCTTATGGACTCATAACTGCACATGCAAGATGTTGTTCTGATTGTGCTTCAAAAGGATCAGGCTGCTACAATGCTCAGGTGCTTCAAATACCACAAAAGCACTTCTGGAGTCAATATGCTTTACAAAAGCATCAAGTAGACTACGAAAAAGCAGAGGACTGGCAATTGAAAGGATGAACTAAAAATATACTGCATCTATTTTTCTGGGCTCTAGAACTATTTTTTTTTTTTTTTAATTTCCAGGAGGAAAAAATAATTGTTATACCGGATTAAAAAAAAAAAAAAAAAAAAAAAAAAAAAAAAAAAAAAAAGAAAGAAAGTAGCTTATGCCCAAAGTATAGTTAGTTCAGACAACACAATTAATTTTGAAGAATAAAATTTGTAATTGTACATTGTAGTTAATTGTAGTTACAATGACTGCTCTTTAAAATCACCAAAACTCTACACTATATACTCAGATATTAAGAAAAAATTATATTGTTTCCATTGTACTTGGAAGTTTTATTTCCTATGCACCATGATTTTATTTCTGTTTATTTCTCTTAGAAATTTGCTTTTGAATTTCATGTAACTAATGCAAGGCTGTAGACATCTCTTCCTGTAAATACACATTTTTGTTTCTAGTTTGGAATATGCAATTTGCCAAAAGTATCAGGTGACTCTTTTTATGAAGTGCTTTGGAGGTTTTAGTGCATTCATTACACATGTTGAACTAAATGAACTAAATGGCTGTGCTTGAAACAAGAGGCTGTAAATAAAAAGTGCACTTTGAGGGTCAGAAATCTGTGTAGATTCCTAAACTTGCTAATGTTATAAATTGAACGATTCAGGTTTGTGTCAGTGGGCAGGCTACAGCTGTTGTTCTCGAGCTGGCATTTTCTCAGGCTGCCAAAAAGCATTTGCATCACTGGGCATGTTCTGTATATTAGAGTGAGCAGAGCAGGAGCTGCAGGACCTTTCCTCTCTGCAGGCGGTCACGCAGGACAGCAGACTCAGAGAGTTTCTCTGCAGCCTCCTTGGAAATCTCACAAGAAATTAGAAGTAAGGATGGTCTCATCTGTAAAATCTTTTCTATTGCAAGAAACAGGGTTAGTGGTACAAAGTAGTAAATTAATTAGAGCTTGGGGATCCTGGAAGAACAGAAATCCATATGGAAGTTCTCAGCCTCAGGGAACCAGGCATACAGGTATTTTGTGTTTTATAAGCTGGGGTGCTTTTCCCCTCCTTCTTTTCATTATGGAAGTTGGCTGGCTTTTTTGCCTTTAGCTAAAGAAGGGAGAAATTATTTATAAGCTTTTTATAAACCTGGAACAAAAGGTTTTGAAGTTACTGACGAAGAACAGCAGTAATAACATTATGGACTTATATTAGGCAGATAAATAGGATTTCTGTAAGAAGAAATATATTTTAATTTATAACCATTTTTGCTCTGCAGTGACTTTCAAATAATTTGGTAGGAATGTTATGTGTTCCTATTTACAGGAAAATCTTTGTACAGTCTAAGTCAATAAGACTTTTGACAGAGGGTTCAATAGCAAATGACATTTGAAAAAATGTTTTAATGTTGCATGTGTGAAGCAACAAGTTAGGGATATATCTACTTGCAGTTTTTCATCTTGGGAATATATGTCAGAACTCAATGTAGTAATGATTTTCTATATTTTTCCTATGTCAGAATTTCAGAGAGAGAAGAAATTGAGTTATTTATAGACTTCTCCATAATTATAAATGTGATCCTTATTCAAGGTTAAAAGAAATGGGGAGGAACTATATTGGGAAATGCTTATTAATCATGTTGGATTAGATTTATAGATATGCCTTTCATAGTAGAAGATCATACACCAGTCACTAGTTTAAATTGTTTTGTCCAAAAGTTATAGTAAATATGGCAAATACAAAGTTTTTAACTCAGTTTTTTCCCCATTTGCACTGCTTTGCTGAGATGTTGTAATGACATTTTTGGCAGTGGAAATAAAATATGAACCCTTGTTTTTGGTAGTCTCTCTTTCAATTGTGAGTTCTATCAGAAAGAAATAGAATAAAACAACATTTATATGATTGCTAAGTACAAACACATTTTATACTGGTTACACATGGACTAAAAACATTGAACACTGCAGAGAGATTTTGAACCAAGACTTTTAGTTTAATAAGAAATGGGAAATTGGTACAAGGTCATGAGAAATAGAATACCTAATACTTTATTATTTAGATACATATGTTTGTAGTTGTATGATAAAAATATGTTCAAGTTTTGTACCGAAAGAAAATTGACAGCTCTGTCTATAATCACATATGTATTTTCTGAATGTACAGATTTAGCTAGTTATTTGTCATTAACTGTTTTTAACCTTGACAATTATCAATAGTAAAAGATACTGTACCAAGCACATGCTTTAACCAGGAAGCTCTGTGTGCTTCTGTCCTCCATCATGACAGAAACATGAAGGAGAATGAGCCACAGAGACTTCACTAGTGATGCATTGCTTCCATCAAAGCAATATAATTTTAAATTGTACTTTCATTTGTCTTTGCCCTGACAGGAGGCATCGTTGATAAGGACCTTCGTCACTACCTCAATCTACGGTTCCAGAAAGGCTCAGTGGACCATGAGCTCCAGCAGATCATAAGAGACAACCTCTACCTCCGCACGGTGCCATGTAAGTAGGGGGCAGATGGACAAACCTGGCTTTTTAGTGGCAGTAGATTATCTGGGTGAGTGCTGCTGAGGCCCTTTGCAGTGCATGCAGAGGTGGTCTGTGGATAAAACAACCTTCCTGTAAATAGATTTGTGGCCTCATTCCAGTCTTCTACATTACTGCTGAGAAATTCAGCTGTGCAATGCTGATGTTTTTGTGGTGTTTTCAAAGCTGTCTCTAGAGTAATAATAATCTTATTTCTTCTGTAGTTTCAGAAAGCACAAATTTAAAGAGGAAAAAAAAGCAGTTTTCTGATCTGGTCCAGTGGATGTCCAACAGAGAGTTTGATCTGCCTCATGTTTCACATATCCATTGTGTAATAATGCCATTGGATGTAGAAAGCAATAGGGCAACAGAAGAAATATTTTAACTAGATTTTGTTTGAATGCAACAGGCATGGCAATGAAAGTTTGTATTGTCTTGCATATATGTTTTTTTCCACATAAGTCAATATTCAAACTATTCTGAAACCTCTAAAGTAGTTTTTGTGGTATTGACCATATTCAGCACTTTGACAATAGACATGAAATTAAGCAGAGTCACGCAAGACATGTCCGGCTGTCAGGGCCATGCCTTTCCGAGCAGATCTACTTGGCTGACAGACAATATATCATTTAAAATGGACTGAAGTTCCATTATTCTTTCCTCATAAAATAATTGCTTACCAGACATAAAATGGGTTTTCTGGTTTTGGCAAAAAAGGAGTGAACTTTTGAACTTACAGGCTTGACACTGGAATGATAGGCAGAGGAAGGTATACTAAGTGGCTGTGCTCTTTATGTGGTAATCAGTGGATACTCTGAAAGCTGAGTTATTGTGAATGCTATTGTATGGGTTTGTTTTTTTTTTTTTCATAGTATTAAAGAATGGGGCGTTGAAAAGACCCTCCTAAAAAAAGTGGGTATTTTAAAAAAAGAAATTATCAAATGCAGACAGGATGCTATCTGGTTAGCTAAAGGATTTTTCATACTCAGTCAAATAAAAAGGACACCACCACACAGTTTTTTAAGCCACATTTCCTCTAAACCATAATTGTGGTGAAAATCTTTTTTTAATACAATTTTACTCTGTCCCAGGCATTCATGCCTAGGAGGGAAAATGTTCTCAATTGTTCTCTATTTTCATATAACTTAACTAATTTTTGAATCACAAACTTACCTTTCAAGGGCATTGGAATTCAAAATCTTCTGCTCTGGGCTGTATTTCATTTTTAAGTTGTGTACATAGTATAAGAGTACTGCTTAGTTGTCCTAACACTGTTCTTAGTATACAGTGGTAATGTTTAACTGACTGTACCACTGCCCTCAAGTTCACTTATGTGTGCACCTAACTTATGAACTTACTACAAATCTTAATTACCAACACAGCAAAAGCAGCACTCATTTTTGTCAAATTCTTGTGCAGAAAAATAGAGAGTGAAACCCTGCTGCAGGCAGCATGGACTTAATTTCCAATGACACGGTTATAACACAAAGAAGGGGAGAAAAGTTGAAAAATAGGTGGAAACATTTTCCTTTTAAAAAATGCATCTACAATCTTGGCCCTGTTACGAAGGCATAATTTCCAGTAAAACCATTAGAAGGTTTGTAGATACCTTGACCTTGTGTTCTTCTGTCCTTTGCTTTCTGTTCACACTGGCAGCACCAGCCCCACACTGCAGTGGGTGTGACCATGGGTTTCTCAGCCCTCCAGGTCAGACTCAGTCATCTTTCACTTGCATTGAATGAGTATTCTCTTAGGAAACCAGGAAGCAGAGGACTAATCCATACCTCTTTTGAATCAGGATAAGCCAACTCAAGTTAGACAAATGAACCAGTATTTACTAAAAACTAGATAAGGTTGGGTCTTGGACTCAACCCTGGCAGTGTTTAAAGCCAGGCTGGAAAAGGCTTTAAACAACCAACTCTAGTGGGAGTTGTCCCAGCCCATGGTAGGGAAATTTGGTACTAGATGGTCTTTAAGGACCCTTCCAATCCCTTAACATTCTGTGACTCCAGACAAGACTTTGAATTGTCTATTATACAAGTGACATCCCTGTGTTCACCAGAGAATAGATGAGCCAGAATGACATGATGTGAGGATTATGGGTCTCAGAAATTTAAGCCCCTGGGAATGGGATGAATTGGTTGGGTTTGTGATCCTTATGTTTCTCTGTTTCTGCTAATGTAGTGCCCCTTTCAACTAAATTAGAAATGACCATGTAACCCTGAGAGTCAAATGCTGCCTTCCATAAGTGTAACAGGTCTCAGTGCATATGAAATTGATTTCCCCTGCATTGCAAACAGGAATGATATGGATATGTCCCAGGGTGGGATGTAAAATTGTATTTGCAGCAGCCAGGTTGCAGCTGTTACCAAGGCAGTTTTGGGGAAAGAAAAGTTCCTCATTTTCCAGGTTCAGAAGACGTAGCAAAAATGCATTTTTTGCCCTTTTCCTGGTGTGTGGAATTTTAGCACTTTTCATATCCTAAACTTACTTTTGACGGTATTTAGGCACTTCTGTGGTTGTCCTACAATATAGAAAAGTAGGCAGGGTGAAATGTGGTAGTTGTCAGCACTGTCTGACACTATCCAGCCAAATCTAGGATCTAGAGAACAGCCACAAAACACATGTAGGGCTCTGAATGCTATAGGAAGACACCACCTTAACCATGGTGCATCCTGTGCTCTCAGCAAACTGCAGTTGCCATGCGGGCAAGCAGCTTTCCAGTCGTCACTGATGTGGGAAGAGGTAGCTCTAGCTCTGTGTCATCTCAGGAATCAAGCTTTGAGGAGAGTAAATCACAGGAAAGGAGTTTCAGTAGGGACACTTATGGTCAGACCTGTCTCCTTTGATATGTCCTTTCCAGCAATTGCAAATTCCATTTCTTTAAGAGCTGGAAAAATGGTAGTTGTGGTTGAAAATAGAATCTGTGTGTGCTCCCTTTTCAGACAGGGAATGTGAAATGATAGCTGAAAACATTGTGATTTAACAGCAATGTAAAAAGTCAAGGACAAGCTGATTCATAAAAGTAAAAAGTCATCCATTAATTGGAAGAGAAGCTCATTGATATCCTCTGGGATATGACTTCAGATTGACAGTAGCTTCAATGAGTTGGTCTACCCTGCGGCACCACAGGAGGACGCAGCCCAGCAATGCTTTCTTCACAGTGAAACTGGGGGCAAAATAGCTTTAAAAACATTATGGGGATGAGGAGGTTTCCTTCCTAGTCGTTCAGTTTAGAAAAAGAAGGAATTATGTAAGAATAGAGAGGACTGGGTATGTGGATATGTGTATGTGTATGTTACAGCACTGGATTTTGCAGTGTTACAGTATTACCATTAGCCCAGAAACTGGAGGAAGGATGTTTTATTTAAAAGATTGATCAGCAGCATAGAAAAAAAAAATTAAGTTTGTAGCTGAGCCCTATATTGTATGTGAATGACCAGAGACAAGAAATGGAATCATTATGAGCAGCAGTTTCCCACATACCAAATTGTGACAACAAATCCTCTTTTTTCCCAGCTTGCCTGTTGATGCCATGGGTGCTCTGTGTTAGGTGAATATAATTGACACTGCACTGCAAATATGATGCCTATGAACACTTAATAAGTCACTTCCACTGTGACTTTTTTTTTTTCTATCTCCTGTGAATATTTAGATTAAGGTAATCTTGAGTCAACATAAATAAAAGCATCATTTACAAATATAGTTTTGTTCTACTGTATTTTGGTATAATCTGGTCTATATATAAATTTAACCCACATGCTGCAATGTTGTCTGTGTACTGTTGAAATGTTATATCTTACAGCATGCTTATGTTTGTGGTCTAGTCCTCTTCACTGAAGAAAGAGTACATGCAGTGATACAATTTTTTTTCTGGGTGTTGGTTTAATTTATCATATATAGTAAAAGTAGAGCCATTAGCTTATATTTCAGTGACACTAAAGTCAATAAACTATGCTTATACTTGAAGCTGCAGGAAAATTCACACTTTCAGACCTGAAGAAATCTCCATCTGCAAAACAGTGCAAAACAAATAAGGTCATTCCCTCTGTAAGAGAAATGTAATATATTGGCAAACCTTAGTAATTCATAATCTACTTCATGGGTAGCAATCATAAAGAGCTTCTGGGAGCGTGTAAGACTTTCCTCTCCAGATGATAGGTGTTATCATAGTTTGTATTTCTTATAATACCTTTTATTTTGGTCACAATAATTAGTAAATACTGAATTAAATCCATATTGCATACTTAGGTTTTCATATGAGGCTTCTAATTTCCAAGCTGAGGAAAGAGTTGCAGAATTCAGGTGGGCAATAAATTTGTATTGGCTTAGGGTAGCCCAAACTCAGAAGTTCTCTGTGCATGGTTCTGCTGCACTGGATAAGGTTGTGAGCTATACCTGACTAATCCATATTTGGATTAGTATGAATCCTTTCAAACTTTCAAATATGAAGCCTTTCAAATTTTTTTCTGAAAAATACTTCTTTTCTTCTAAAAAGTATGTACCCAAGAAAATTGAAAGGGAAATGTGTGAAACAGACTTGCCAATGGTATAATATATTTTTCTTACAAGTTTGTTCATGTCAAAATTATCTTTCAAGAGGTTTTGTCAGTGAAAGAGCTGCCAGTTTGACGTCATATGGAGCTATTGCTAGGATAAAATAACCTGTGCTTAGCATACCATACTGCCAGGAAATGTCTGCATCACTCGAAATAACAGTACCTAGCTTTAATGGCTACATTATTCTTCCAGAGTTTGCTATTGCTTAGACTTTGATGGTTCAGAATAGAGCAATGCAGAGCTCTTAAAAATGTTCTTGTTGTGTATCTCATGGAGCACATCTCCAAAGTGTACTTTAAGTGAAGTCATTGCCATCTCAAGCAAACTCAGGTAATTATGTGAGACGAGGGCCCCACTGTGCTGCTTGCAGCACAGCCACATGTACCAGAAGATGAGAGGGTTGTCACTGCTTCCAA